TCCAGCCTTCCTGGGCCCCTTTGTCCTTCAACAAGCAGACTTGTTATTTCACAAAATATATAAACAGCTTTTATGACAAACATCTGTGGATGATTTTAGTTGATTGGAGAGTCTGGTCAGACTTAGTATGATGCATTTGGCCTGCCATTAAATTATGTCAAAGTGCAAATGCATAAATTAAGGAAGTTGAAAACTAAAACTAATGTTTTATCAGGAAGGAATATTCTATTTTTTAAATTTCTTACTTTAATAATGTGTTCGTTCTTCATAAAGTGTATCCAGAAGGTACATACAGAATACTAAGAATTTCTTATGTGAATTGTATTTAATTGTGTTTTTATTATCTAATTTCTGATTCTCAAATTCACATTGTACTTTGAATTTATGTGAATGAATAGTTTTTTATCAAATTTTTTCAAATTTGATAAAGCCTAAATATGTCATGTAATGCGTAGTTGTCAGTGTGCCTGCTGGCTCTCTTCCCTTCCTCCCTCCCCCTTTTTTTTTCTTGTCTGAAGAAAAAAGAAGCCCTCATAATTCAGTTAAGCCACTGTGGTGTGAAATTTATGAAATTACAAAGTCATTTCATACTGTGCTACATGCTGGTAAACTTAAAGTATTTGGATGGCTTTTTTTGGAACATCTGATACAGTGCGATAGTCTTTTAACCACAGTTCCAGTGAGGTGCCATGAGGGCTTGGGAGCAGGCATGGGACGGTTGGTGGCTTACTTCTTTTTCCTCTAGAAATTGTGCTTATCCCATGTGAATATCTAATTTGATTTCTGTAAATATGGAATGGACTAAAATTTATATTTGGGAGTAGAGCTCCCTCTTCCCTGTTTTTTTTATAACTGCTACTAACAAAGATGGTTATATAATAGATGCAAAATTTTATTTCAGAAAACAGTAAGTTAGTGGGTTTTGTAAGACGTAAGCTTGTTAAGAATATAGATATTTTTATTCTAGGAGAGCCACTTTGTATTGAGCATTGAATGCTCACTCAACTGGTTTTAAGTCATTCATCCATTTACACTGTAATTACTTATTTGCCTCCTGACTACTCTGGATTAAGCTCTTGATCTAGGTGTCTAAAATAAGCTGCAGTGTGCAATGTCACATATCCAAGTCTGATACTGCTGGGAAAAGTGAATGCTGTAATATGTAAAATATCTAAAAGATATCCTTATGTGTTTTGGCAGATTGGCAAAATGAGGTATGTCAGTGTTCGTGACTTTAAAGGGAAAGTCTTAATTGATATTAGAGAATATTGGATGGATCAAGAAGGTGAAATGAAGCCTGGCAGAAAAGGTATTGTTCTGCTACATGTTATTTTGTATTAAAACACTGTCTGCAGTTTGCTGGAGAACTTTAAAAAAAGTGTATCAGATTTTTATACTTTGTTACTACATGGTATTTTTAGAGTAATATTTTTACTTTTTTATAATTTATATCTTAACAAATTATTAGTTTTATCTGTAGATTACAAACAAAAGCAAAGTGATTTCGTTGGCCTGGCCTGAGTCTGGTTTCCTAAATGGATTCCCCTGTGATTTATAGAAAACAAGACATCAAATACAAGCAAATTTGGTATGGGAGTTATATACGTAGCCATACATTTTCCTATTGATTAACTTAACTCTATTTCTTGTTTTTATTACAGTTTGATTTCTTATTTCAAAAGTTGCTGAAAAGACTTAAATTATTCATTTGTAGTAAGGTGTTACTTTCTTTAAAACAATGATGATCTTCAATTTGTATCAAATTTTAGATTAAAATATTTTATGTGACTAATTTTGTAAAAAATATTTCAGGATTTTAGTTCAGGTGAAAATACCTCAGGTGTTTAAGTTTTGGTACTGTGCTAATCTACAGCACAGCATAAGCCATTGTACCTTTAATTGCTACTCCCATACTTTTTATGGCATGCCTTCACTGAACCATTTTCAGAATTTTGCCACCTGCAAGATGGAGATGTGAGGATAGTTGCAGTAGTAGTGCTTTCCTTAGTGTCACGTTGCTTCTGTTAGAAAAGCCATTTTTAGAAAAATCATTTTTCATATTGTGCCAAGGAAAGAGGTAAGTATGAAACATCCTGTCCTGGAGACTGAAGACCTTTAATGTAGACTCAGCATAAGGTTTGTTACATTCTCCTAGTGTGTCCAGGAGCCAATAGATGTTTGAAAAGCTTGACAAATGTTTTCAACAGCTCTTAAATAACCACTGAGAATAGGTTTGTATGAACAGGTGTAGCAGTACTGTACAGGAAAATTTCTTGGTTTGGATGTGTTGTTGCTACTTAACAAAAAAGATTACTCCAACTTCTAAGGACTTTAAACTGTTGTGTTTTGAGGTGGAAATCAAAAGTATATGCAGTTTGAGTGGTAAACTATAATGAAACTTGATGGGTATGCCAAGTGACAAAAATTACATGATGTAGATAGAAATGTTTATCAATGTGGATACAGTATTGTGTCTAATGTTCCATTGATGCATTTATGAGCCCCTTACCTAGCTATCCTAAAAACAGTATGAACAGTTGAAATTGCATAATAAAATATAGGAAAAAACAAATCCAACAGTTTAGAATTGTTGTGTCGGATTATTTCCAACAGCAGGTCTGAACTGCATGCAGTTTATCTGATATGTTGTTCAGGGGCATCTTGATGACACTTGGTCCCCTAATAATGGTTAGTATATCTGGCCTAACTGTTTTCAAAAGAAACCTGCCCTCTAAAGGCTGGTAGAAAACTGCTTAAATAGCTCTGTGCAGACTGCTTGCTGCTCTGGTAAGTGGTGTTCTGATAAGACAGTGATGGTAGAAGAAGAAAGAAAAAAAAAAAAAGGTGATGAGCCCCAAAAATGGAATTCAAAATTTCACCTGTTTTCAGGTCCTGTTCCACCTACAGGGAGAAAGTAATTAAGGAAGCCTGATTGCTGGGGGGTGTGGTGTGTGTGTGTAAATAGTAGAAGAGCCTTGCTGGAGAGAGTATGAGAGGTAGGCCTGCGAGTCTGTACTTGCATAGAGTTGGCAGAGAGATTTTAGGGGAAGAATGAGGAGACTAAACCACAAAGGAAGCATGTGCCTGGACTTTGAAGTTCAGGAAATACAAATTTAGAACTGAGGGGATGGGTTGTGGGGCACTGAATAATTATTGATTGAATGTCACTAGAAGCTATAGTGAACTCGAAGTGAAAAAATAACTTCTGTGTTGGTTTGAATGCTGGGGAGTGGAATAGTCTCTCCAAAATGTTACTTATAGGATATGTTGTTCACAGTGCTTTAAGAAACAGGAGGAAAAAAAAGAAAAAAAACCACAAACAACAAACCCCAAACAACAGAATTATACTTTAAAAGTGCATAGAAGTTCAGTCCACTGAGGTATGGCTTTTAGGAGCCAACAGGAATACAATTGCTTTCCTACATTTCTTTTGTGCTGCCTTCGATCAAGGCCAGAGCTGTATTTCACTTCCTGTGTTTAGCCTAATGCTTATGAATGAATTTGTTATACTGTACTTGTTTTCTTAGTAAGTGTGGCTTCTTCAGAGATAAGCTAAGGTCTAAAGTTAAACTGAAGTGTTCCAAATGAGTAGTTTAACTTTGTAACAGAGATGGTTGTTACACTTGAGGCAGCTTAAGCATTAATAGTTGTGACATAGACTTTGTGTATGAAACCAGCATTGACAGTAATTATGCAAGATCCTGCACTACAATTTCTTCTCATCCTAAGTGTTTATTTTTAATGTATTTCAGGTATTTCTTTAAATCCAGAACAGTGGAACCAGCTGAAGGAACAGATTTCTGATATTGATGATGCAGTAAGAAAACTGTAAATAGAGCCATACAGAAACCTTTATCATTTTAGTTGTTTTAAGTGGTCTTTTTACATTGGCTTTTGTTTTCTAAAATATTGGTTTCCATGCTATTGTATATTTGGATTTCAAAACGATTTGTAAGATCAATACTTTTTAATGTGCATTAAAAGCGTATTCTGAGTGAGGCTATTTGTGTATATTTTACTAAAAGGAAATGTGTTGCTTTTACCTCATGGTATAAAATAAATAATATGTAAAGCATAGGTGTTTATGGTCTTTTGATTGAAGGTGTTTGCGAAGGCCACCTAATAGCTTTAGTCTTTGTTTTAGTTTCAGTTTAATTAACTGTTAATATGAATTTTTCTAAGATTTCCTAAAATGTCTCTATTTTTTTTTCCTTTTATTTCATACACTTTGGTATTGCCCTGACAGCTTTCTGCTTTAAGACTTGATACAAACAGTGAATACCTGGTAAAACACATTTTTGTAGATAACTTTAAATACTGTATTTGCTAATTTACCATATTTATTCAGATGTAAACAGTCCTGAGTATATAGACTTTTTTATATTACTTGCATGAAGTGTTATGCTAAACAATAATACTTGAAAACAAGCCACACGCTATTTCTTTCTGTTTTTCTGTAGCTTGCTTGACTTGGAAAATACAATTAGCCTTTATTCTTGGACGTTAGATTTTAGAATGTGATGCATAAACTTTTACAGTAATAGACACATACCTCAGAGTAAGATAGTATTTAAAAGCTCCAAATGTGGTTATTAGTTAGGTACCCTTTTCAAGCTTTGCATTAAATTAATTCTTGAACACGTACCAACTAGTTAGTCTATAGAAAAGAACAGTTAACCTGTCTTTGTAGGTCTTTTGTTTGTTTGAGAGTACTGTGTAAACAACAATGATTAAACTAGGCTGTAACACAGGTTAAACAGTCAAACGGGGTTAGAATTGCTTCAGCCAAAATGTCTGGCTATCATGCTTCTGCCCCATCCACACTGCCTGCCCAAACCATTTAACTTGGCTTGCCTTGTGTGGCTTATGTGTGCAAAACTGTTTTATCTTTTGTACAGAAGATACTTAGCACTTACAATGGAGTGCTGGTACATAGTGGATCATGACTAGCAAACTTTGCTTGTCTACCAGTGTACTATTCTGGTAAGAGAAGCTTCTGTCCAGTGGAAGCCCTATTAGACTAGATGCTGCCCCAGTTGAAGGGCTTCTTGGTAGGTGTCACAAACTATGGAATGAAGAAGAGAGAATATGATGTTTGAGTAGAACTTAGAGATAAGGGGCATGCCAGTACGGAAGTTAATGGTGAAAGATCAAAGTTAGCAGATGCATAATAACTACAGTGAAGAACTATGTTAGCAGAATTGGAGAAGAGTTTATTTTCTGACTTGTTTCATCTTCTTCCTTTAACTGAATTAACTTCATGAAAATTGACATTTCAAGACTATGTAGTGAATGTGCAACTTATTGGTTCAGCTGTAATTTTCCCATTTGATGTTAAATTTAATGTATCTTTTAAAATTTTTTTATACATAAACAGGATTTACTATTTACTTAATTTTGGAATATCTTAATATAATTGTTTATATTGTGGACATACATGGAAGTCCTGTTCTGCTAAGTGCCATACACACTGTTCCTGTGCTGCAGTTTATGATTCAATACTAATGGGTATTGAAGGGTGAGAAAGGGTGAGTTCATCACATTAAATATATATTACTTAATTTAAATATTATGTCAGATACCTCCACCTGCTTTTGAACTTATCCATTGTTGACATATTTCAAATCAAGTTAAGATCTGGCTTTGTATAGCTCAGGAAATCTGAGTTTTTAAGAACTGCTTGAGGGTAAATAAAAGGGTGAAGAGATGTTTTGTGGCAGCAGCTGCATTTTTGGGCACAACATTCTTTGAGTGACTCTTAATGGCATGTAGGGGTATTTGGACCAAATAGAATAAATATGAAATAGCCGCTAAAATTTTCAGATGGGTGAATGAAATAAATTGCTTCAGATCACTATCAACAGATTCTAGGTGGGTTTTTTTGTTTGCAGTATGTATATATGATTTTTTCCTTTAAATCTGAAATTTTGCAACCAGTTTTCACCCATTTTTACCTCAAAACTTTCATGTGGCTACTTTTAAAGTACATGATTATCATAATAGAGGGAACATTGCCCTCAGACTACTGTGGTAGTAGGTCATTGGATGGCAGTTGTGTATCAGAGTACAATATAATTATGTTGAGGAAGGTAGAGAATTAAATTCATTTTGAGGGAGTAAGTGAAAAAGTTTTAATATATTGATTAGTTCTCTTGTGGAAACTGGTGGTAGAGATGTTAAAAGAAATTAGTATTTGTTAACCAAGAACTAATAGTTCCTCTTACAGATAACACCCTTGAATTTGTGGTGATAATTACTGGAGCTGTTTATACCATTTTACTTGAGAAAACTTGGGGTGGTTTGATTTTACTTAGCTTGTGTCTTTAAAAATAGTTTTCCATCTGCCAGTTATATTTCTGCCTGTGATAATGATATAATATCATGTATTTTACCTGAGCCAGTCTTAATGTCTGCATGACTGTCCTACAGAAAAGGTAACTAATAAACTAGTCAGTTTCACAAATGAACTCAAAATGGGATGTGTTTAATTGTGAGGGAATTCATTGCACCTCAGATGACTGATGTGCTGGTTACTTGATAAAAATTTGACACATTCAATGTTATATTGAAATAAATAGTTGGTAGTGATTTGTCACGTAATTGTCTATGGCTGTAGTCTTTCTAATTAGAGAAGAAAATTCAGATTATTTTTTTAATAAAGATTATTTTCTTGCAGACAAAATGGTAGTTAGGGTACATGTAGAAGTGTCCATGGAAGAAAATTGTGCATGTATGAAAAGACTGTGTAATATGAGATAAAAACACTGCTCCCTTTCCCATTGAAGTGGCAAAAGAAATATCAAGAATCATATGCATCTTTATGCTGGGCATATTAGCAATATGTTTTATAAGTTAAACCTATTATGGAGCTTAGGAGGAAAAATACATCACAGAACTGCCAAAGTACCATATGTGTGCTAAATCAAACTGTCATGTACAATGTTGCTCTTATGTAGAGATGTTCATATTGAAGTTAAACGCAGTACTAAGTTTGATATTTCTGTTAAAGGAAATGCCCCAGTTACGTACTTATGTGATCTGTTAGCAAAACATTGAAGACTGTAATTCTGGTAACTCAAATGTTATATTGTTAACCATGTGGAATGTTTCATGTTTTGTTCTGGTGGTATCTACTGCAGAGGCCACTGGAAATATGTGCCCTCCAACTGTAACTATGTTAATGTTCAAATAAAAAGTAGTTAAATGGCATATGTGTAATAACAATTTGAACACTGAAATAAATGAAGACTTCTGTTGACATAGTGTTATTTTTTAATATAAATTTAGCTGCACTAAAACTTATTTTTTTCGTAAATAGCCATTTTCATAACAATTTGTTGCTTGCAACTGTTGTAATTTAGAAACTTGAAAACTTAATAATCTTGGTCCATGCTTGCAGGTGGGTGGTTGCTTGTGTTAGCCCAGAGGGATAGAAGTTTTTCATTATGATAGAAGAATGTGGAGTATTAAGGCACGGACTCTGGCGGGGATTCAAGCCAAAGACATTTATTGCTACAGGCACTTGCTTTTTATACAGTTACAGCGCTCTCATGAGCCACAAAATGCGTCCTGATTGGTTACTACACCCAGTCCATGCGCTTCTCGCACAGTCAGGATTGGCTGCCTGCAGGTGTCCACGCGCTCTTCTCTAACCATTCTCCTTCCTCCTTCTGCTCCAGTACCTCCCCTTGGCCGCTCACAAAAATATCCCACGCTTCTACTTCCTCCTTTGTTGTTTACCAGCTTCTCAATGCCACAGCTCCTTCTCCAAGCCTTTGCAGGGTGATCCCAGCATCTCCCCCTTTTTGTTTGTCTACAAACAAAACCTGACGGATCATTCGCTGAAGCATGGTGCACAAGCATGAAAGCAAACAGGGAACAATCAACAAAATACAACAAAAGATAGCCAATGCTAATAATGCCGTTTTACACAAAGACTTTAGCCATCCTCTTATGCCCCAGCTGTTCAATAACTTGTCAACCCAAGAGGTGTCGT